TTCCCTGATGACTTTTCTAACTCGCTGTCCCTCCATCTGTTCCCCAGTTGACGTGATCTTTAATTTGTTTGTGCTCTCAGAGTACTTTATATGTTCCTTTTGCGCCGTTTCCTTGCCTTAAGTCCCTAGTAGGTTGTAAGTTCTTCAGGCACCGGGACCCACCTTACCTCATTTATCTTTACATTATTCATTCGGCAGATGTTTACTGAGCCCATTATGGGCCGGCTTGCAACCTAGCGCCAGCATACCATAAAAGTCCAATTAATGCGAAACCGAATTGAAATGCCCGAGGAATTTCAGAGCGGCTAACCTTAAGGAGGGGCCACTTTACGCCCGACTTAAAAGCCTTGCTGGCTTTCGTTCTTGGAAGCACTGGGCTCTGATAGGTTGTTGTTTCCTTCTTCTGGGAACATATATCACCCATCTTTTGGGAAAACGGTTTCCCTTTCCCTTCCCCCACCTCCAGTTCCTGTGATTTGAGAGATCTGCCGTGCTTCTTACATTTTGCTCTCTTGGTCCCTGTTGACTGATTCAAAGTGGACAACTGACCCAAGCTGGGCCAATCAGAGCTTTTCCCTGGGATTTTTGAAAGGGGAACAGAGGAAGAGAGAGCCTGGAGGAGGCCAGGGTGTGTATTGCCGTCTGTATAAGAAGCCGGTGTGCAAAAGGATAGGGTTTGGCTGGTGCACAAAGAGGAGAGTGGAGGCAGAAAGAAAGAGCCTCTGGTTCCAGTTGCATCAAAGATCCAGACCTATCTGTCCATCCCATAGCTTGCTCTGTCTGCCTTCCACTGTCCAGCCGAAAGGTGCAACCTTCCAGGTATAAGACGAACAAGTCCTGGGAATGTAATACACAAACAGCGTGGTGACTAGTTCACGATACTGTGGTGTATCCAGCAGTCCCCCCTTATCTGTGGTTTTTCTTTCCACGGTTTCAGTTACCTGAGGTCAACGGCCGTCTGAAAATATTAAATGGAAGATTCCTAACGTAAACATTCGTAAGTTTTAAATTGTGCGCCATTCTGAGTAGCGCGATGAGCTCTCGCACCGTCCCGTCCCGCCTGGGTGTGAATCCTCCCCTTGCCCGCTGCGTCCACGCTGTAGACGTGCCCCGCCCGTTGGCCGCTTAGCTGCCGCCTAGGCTATCAGATGGACTGTCGCGGTATCACAGTGCTTGTGTTCAGGTAATTTTTATTCTCCTTAATAACGGCCCCAAAGTGCAAGAATAGTGATGCTGGCCATTCAGACATGCCAGAGAAAAGTGTAAACTTTACCGTAGGTATGTGTGTGTAGGAAAAAGCAGAAAACATGAAGATTCGGCACCATCTGGGGTTTTGGGCACACACTGGGGGTCTTAGAACGCATCCTCTGCAGATGAGGGGGGACTATTCTAGTTTCAAGTTGCTAAGAGATATCTTTTTTTAAAAATCCTTACTGAAGGGTATGTTTTTATTGATTTGAGAGAGGGAGAGACATTGATGTGAGAGAGAAACATCGATTGGTGAGAGCAGATCTTCAAAGCTCTTATCACAAGAAAAAAAATTGTAACTACGTATGGTGACAGATGTTAACTAGACTAGATGTTAACTAGTGAAGGTTCCAGGATCAGTCCACATCTGCATTACTTGTCATGCTTGAGACATACTTAACGATAGTCACTAAGACTGTGACATGTTTGCAGGGTGACACATGATTATTAGACTTAGTGCGGTGATCCCATTGTAAGGTATATAAAAACGTAGGATCATTCTGTTGTATACCTAAAACTAATGCAACATTGCATATCACCTCTACTTAAATAAAAAAGATAGCTATAAATATACATTCCAATATTCTACTCTTTATTGGATCATCTTGTGCACCGCCCCCCACCCCCTCTTTGGAGACCATGGAGCTAAGAAATTCACTTACCCAGCACCACTTTGCACTGTAGTAGGTACACAGGAGTTGGCTGTGATGACGGTCCCCACCTGACATTTATTTCATGCTCTTTTAAATCCAAATGGGCACTTTCACACCTGCTGCAAAGCTGAGTGATAAAACATCTGTGTTCTTAGTCTTTCCCTTTTCTCTTGATTGATGAGGTGGGTTTCACTCGGGATTTTCTCTTAGCTTTACCCGCATGATGTACCTGGTGATAGTCTCTCCCCCTCCTGTCCCACTAGCCCCGTGAGAGGATGGGCACTTCCTCGGGAGCATCTGGGATTTGGCTACAACTGTCCACAATTCCTCTTCTCTCTCCTGTTGTATTAATTAGGAACCTTTTTGTGGCAAGAGCAGGAAACCCAACTGAATCTGACTGAAGCAGGAAAAAGAATTGGTTAGCCCCCATGACTAGACAGGGTGAACATCTGGCTGCATCCAGGTGCTCAAAATGATGTCACTGAGATTTATCATCTCCCTCACTGCAGTTTTTTGACCAGGTTTTCCTCCCTTCATTGGCAGTGGCTCTGTGTGTGGTGGCTCCCAGAAGCTCTAGCTCATTTTATCCTTACGGTCAACAATTCCAAAAGAAAGTTTCTTCTCATCAGTTCCAACAGAAAAGTTCAGGGATGGGCTTTTATTGGATTACCTTGGGTAATCCAATGGGCTTTTATTGGATTACCTTGGATTACCTGAACCATTGGCTGCGGTCAGGTAAATGCAATGCTTGGATTGGCCAGGCCTTGGCCGCATGACCACGCCTAGCACTGGGGTCGAAGCACTGCCCCGTCCACAATGCAAGGGAGCCGGGGGGCAGAGGGGGGGCTGTAACCCAAAGAGAAGTGGGGTGCGAAAGCACAAGCTCCACCCGCCTTCCCCACCTTGGAATGAGGACTTTCCTCCACAGAGGCTCAACCACAGTGTCAGAAAAACAAGAGCCTTCTGCCTGGGTTGCAGCTTTCTCCTTGCGGTGCAGTTATGACGCTGACCCCCCAGGTACTGCGTGCTCCCTTCCTTCTTGGTAGAAGGTTCCGTGTTGCTGGCAAGCGTGATGGGAGCATAGTAGGAATACGGACCGCTAGGTGGTGCTAGAGCCCTGAGAAATAGTCTTGAAAAGTGGCAAGCGGGAAGGTGGAGGAAGTCCTGGGATTTGGGCATCCCCCCCCCCAACTTGAGACAGACAGACAGACGCCCCATTCTAGACTTGGCTCTGCCACTTACTGGCTATGTGACCGTTGGCAAATGACCTTAAGTTTTGGTATCCTTGCTTGTAAAATGGCGATGGCGGCAAAGCCTGCCTCAGAGGGATGCTGTGAGCATCGCCTACGACGCTGCCCGAGTGCCGTCGAATCTGCACACTGTGGAGTGCAGTCGGATCGAAGTTAATGACGGTGCCAGGAAGCCCGGCCAGTTAGCTGTTCCTTGGGCATGGTTCCAAAAGCAAGATAACTTCCGTGACCTTGTCTCGCACAGTGAGAGCCGAGGGTCAGTAGGGGAAGGGAGGGAGTTCAGAGTCAGCTGGACATGAGTGTTTTAAAACGCCACTTGGAGCCTCCGTGTCATCGCAGTCAAGCAGGTGGGCCCTGCCTGCCTTGCAGAATCGTGAGGATATATGTGCCGGGCATTTTGCAGCGTCTGGGACGAGGCAGCCCCTCAATCAAGGCTAGATGGCGATGGGGCTGCCGGTTGCTTTTTGTGATTCTGTCCTCTGGGCCCCCTCTCTCCTCTCCTGGCCTCTCCTCCCACTTTCTGCTTTAACCCTTGCGGCCCAGGGAGTACTGATGTCATGCCTCTGTCTCCAGTGCAGCCCTCTCTCCTGAGTTTGATTCCTTCCCTCGACTGCCCCTCACGCACCTCTCACTCCACATGCTCGAAACACAACCCCTCACCTTCTCATTCCAAACTTTTCCTCCCTCTCCTCCACCCAGTGGTCCAAGCTGGAAAACTGAACATGATTCCGGACACTCCTGCCCTCTGCCCGCTTTTACCCACCACACCAAGCTCTGCTGGTTCTACCTTTTAAATATCCTTTCAAGGTCTCCCCGTCCCCACTGCCGTTGCTCTCCTCATGGTCACTGCCACAGCCTCATCTTAGCTCCCTGCTCCTTGCCTTGCATTCACATAGTAGCCGTTGTTTTTTTGTGTGTGTGTGTGTGTGAATGCAAATATGATTATTCCCCTGCTCTAAATCCTTCCATGGCTCCCTATTGCCAGTAAGTTGGTCTAAACCTCATAAGATGGCCTAGAAGGCATCTAAACACCTTCTACCTCCTTCCCCAGCCTCCTTCCTACCCTTCCCTACCCTGCACTGCCCACCCGACCTCATGGGCCAGACAGACTCATGCTTGCTTCCTCAAATGACATCCGAGTTTCTTTTTGCCTCTCGGCCTTTGCGCATGATGCTCTATCTGGAACATTCTCCCCTCCCTCCTTTTCCATTTACCCTTCTCTCCCTGGCTCCTAGTCAGCTTCCAGGTATCATCACCCTCCATCTGCTACACATCCGCCCACCCATCCGCCCACCCATCCATCCACCCACCCACCCATCCATCCGTGGCTGTATATATAATGTTAAGAAATGGTGTGAAATAGGGATAAGTCCGTATCTGTGTAACCGAGCTATCGTGAGATTTCAATGATATTAGGAGGCAATATTATTCACCGGGCACTGGGCCGGATGCGTAACAAGCTCGATAGGTGGCAACTGTTGTCGTTTCGCGAGTGTCTGAACAGCATACCCGCATTCCCCAGCTCCAGCTCTTTCCCGGCCAGGCATCAAACATTCAGCTTAATTTTATTATCCGGGGTTGGAGGAGGAGAAATACAGCGCAGGAATTTGGAGAGGGAGTGGTGGGAGTCAGGCTGGACCAGGGAGGAACAGGGACTGGAGGTGGAGCCTGGGGCGTGAGGGTGAGGGGGGTTTCTACCTGGGAGCGTCTCCCTTTAGCACGTGGCCAGAAGCGTCTCCAGATGACCCTGCTATTGCACCGGCATCCGTGAGTGTAGGCAAGAAGCAGGAGCCCAGTGTCAATGACGAGGGCTCCTCCACGGGGACAGCTGGTCGACCCCCGGCCCCGACTATATCTGGGCACTCTGGGGCCGTAAGGGGATGTTGATCCGGTTTTGCAGCCAGTTGATATAGTCCTCTTGAGGCATATGGATAATGTGTTCTCGCACAAACTGCAGGGCAAACACAGCGGCAGCCTCAGAATTGGTCTGAAAGCCGGGCTCTTTGCTCTCCCCCCACCCCCGCTCCCACCCCAGATCCTGGAATATTTGTGATTGAGGTTGGCGGTCCCAGGATGCCAGCGACCAGGCATTCGTGGTGCCTGGAGCATCGTACTGGGAGTGATTCTCTCTAGGAAAAGATCCCTGTCTAGCATCCTGGCTTATTTTAAACCCCTTCTATTGACCCAAAGAAATTCAGGGACATCAGGAAAACTCGGCTGTCTGCATTTTTCTTTCTTTTCTACTCCTTAATATCTTTTTTTTAAAAAAAGTCATTTGTCCTTTAAATTTCGTTTGGCGTGTAGACCCCTTTGAGAATTGATGACAGTTACGGGCTGGCCTCCAGGAAAGGGTTAAGACACAGAATGTAGTTTCAGATAGACTCTAGATTAAGACGCCCACTATCCAGGTTCTCAGAAGTTCTGGGACGTTTTCACCGGGGGAGGAACATGCTGTTTTACTAGCCGGGGTCGTGAACTCACCTCAGAGAATGGGGGGAGCCTCGCTATCCCCTCTCTTCTCTTACCCATTCAGAGATTGTCCCACAACTGACTGGTTAAAGGTGGACTCCGTAACTGGCAAGTGGAGGTTGGTGGGACAGTTGCCCTAGAGTTGGTTTTGGAGTAGGCAGCTGGAGTCTTTCCTGGAAGAACCCCCTTGCTCGCTTTCTTTTAAACCCATCGACTGCCAGTGAGTTCCCCCGACAATTCCTGCTCTGCTCTGCTTCGGGGCCTTTGCACGTGCTCTCCCCCTTCCTGCCCTGCCCTGTCTCCTTCTCTTCATGGTGCTGTCTTTTCAGCATTCAGGTCTCAGCTTAAAAGCCACCTTCCCCCGTCGCCCTGGTTGAGATAGGTCCCCTTTACCTTTTACCTTGAACAAGTGCCCCTCAAACTTGATGGTGCAGGAAAGTCACCGGGGATGCGTTGGTGGATATGGTTTGGAACCTGAGGTTATGCATTTCTAACAGGCACCCAGGGGAGGTCATGCTGTTGGTCCGTGGGCCACAATTTTGGTAGCCAGCCTTAGAGGGCTCCTTGTTATGGTCACCAGGTATTTCATTCACTCGTCCGTCTATTTCTATCTCTCTAAGGCCTCCATGTTTCTTTCTGTTTTAAAAATATGTTTTTATCGATTTCAGAGAGAGGAAGGGAGAGGGAGAGAGAGAGATGGAAACATCAATGATGAGAGATAGTCAGTGATCGCCTGCCTCCTGCACGTCTCCACTGTTCATAGATTATGCTCAACCACTGAGCCACGCCGGCCGGGCAAGGCCTCCTGGTTTCTAGGGGGCACCATTTACAAAGAACATACTGTCCCCTGGAGTTGAACAACCAAGGTCATGTGACCATCCCTCTTCTGTTAGATGATAAGCTCTGTGAAGGTAGAGATCTTTGTCTTCTAAACAGTGCCCGGGTGTTGAGAGGTGGTGGGATGCGGGTGCCAGGGGCATGGTGAGGGGAAAGGACATGGCGGTTACCTCGACAGCCGCAGCGACGTCTGGGGAGCACAGTTCCCAGGTCCTCAGATCCTGCAGCACCTTCAGGAGGACGTGGGGCCTGATCCTCAGGTCCAGGTTTTCTCCGTACTTCTGCAGTTTTGCCAGGATCTTTTTGGCGGGGCGGAAGTTCTTCAGATCTTCAGGGAGTTTGGACAGAAGATCAAAGTACCTTCCATTTCAAGAAAAGAGGGCCAATTAGGAAGCTGCTGGGAGGTGGGTCTGGGCACCTCGGGCCCTCCATCTCCACTCTCTTTCTACCTCTCTTGTGATGTCTCCAAGGCAGCATCCGTTTTTACCTGGGGGCCTTTCCTCCTCCCTAAACGTAAGGGGCCCACCACCGATCAGGTAAGTCTTTCATTTTTAAGGGCAGTAAAGGCTGGAGCGTGACTTGCAGCTCATTAGGAAAACAAATTAGGGATGCATTTATGATTTTTCTAGCATGCAGACAATGTGAAAAGCTTACAAGAAAGGAAGGGACACGGAGATTTTGAAGCTTCCCTTTTGAGAGTTAATCAGGCCAGGAGGACATGGACACATCTGTGGGGAACTCTCCAGAAAGCAGGAGGTCCTCACACACAGAATGTAGGAGGAGGAAGGGGGTAGGGGAGTAAAAAGGCGGAGGAAGTGTGTGTTTTTCCCATGTCTCTGTAGCGCGTAAGCTTGGGCCACAGCTCTTGTGTGTTTCGGTGGGTTCTGATGCTGTGACAGAGCGTGAGGTTAGCTTGGTAATCCACGGTGGGAGCAAGGTAGACTCTACCCCGGAGGTGGTTCGGGTGTGATCAGGGTTTAAGGTGTGTCTTTTAAAACAGAGGGGTGGTGGCATCTCTTAAAAAAAAAAAAAGTTTCCCCTCCCCCTGAAATATACGTACCCACTGTGGAAAAATTTGAAGAAGAAATGTGGTCATCCATCGCACATTTCGGGCTCCTGATACTGTTTTATATTCTAAGATCCATGATTATATATGTTTGTGTCTCTTTTTAAGCTCACGTCCCACATTATTAAAAGCATGGAAGGGAATTTTGGGCTCATTTTTAGACTCTCTCACCTTACTCTTAGAGCTCGATTTACTCCCCCTGCCAGGATTAGGTTCGTAAAAGCACAGTCCACCTGACTCCAATTCTGTGTTGCTGAGGAGCCTAGAGACTGGGGTCAGGCAGGGGTTTAAATCCTAACCGTTCCTTGTTTGTAAAGTGGGGATTGATATGTACCCTTTACCTGTCAGGACTTTTGTGGGGAATAAAAGAGGTAAGTTATGAACGTTGCTTAGGGTGGTGTCTGCCACATCCAGGAACCACTCAGTTCATGTTGCTTTTGGCTGTACTTACAGTATCACCTGGGGCACAGTGTTCCTAGCACGTGCCCGCCTGCTTTTGTATCCTGAAGGGGTTAAATTGTTTGGGGAATAGTGGTCGCCCAGCAGACCTCTGACTCTGTGGATGTTTTCAGGTTGTTCTGCCTCATGAGCCTGTCCCATCGGGGCTGGCGAGCTAGTCTTTATTTGCAAGTCTGAATCAAACAGAAGATAAATGTGGAGAACTGAGCTGGCTGGCTGGCCTGTGCCTCAGGAACTGAGGGAGTCTTGCCTGATTGTGCTCTGGACGTAGCCTGTTTGGGGGGTGGAGGGGGGAGGTCCTATTGCTGGCGGAGGACAGTCTTGGAGGGATGCCTCCCTATGTCTCGAGGGCGAACGGGAGCAAATGTGATTTTGTGACCACAGCCCCCCCTGCCTCCCCTCCAAGGACCGGCTCATCTGGCTCTCAGGGTACTTACCAGTGGTCGGCGATTTCCTCCGCGTCTCCTTTTACCATGGCGACTCTGTGTCTCATTTTTGCTATGTCCTTTTGAAAATTCGAAACAAGGACAAAAGAATGGAACTTCTGGAGGCCTCTCTCTTCCTGGCGCCTGCGTCACAGGTTGTAGGAGAAAGAGGGGGAAGGGTCAGACCCCCGGCTCCTTTAAACCATCCTAGCGGCCCCTTGAGATAGGACTCGAAACACCTTTCCTTCCTGAGGTCCCCCTAACCCGGCCGCTGTTGAATGGACAGTCTGGCTTTGGTGACGGAGGTGACACAGCTCTCTCCATGGTCCTGAAATGCTCTTGCTAAATCCAGTAACTTTTTTTTTTTTTTAAATCAGCCTTGCCCCGCCAGGCGTGGCTCAGTGGTTGAGCATCGACCTAGGATCCAGGAGATTGGGGTTCAATTCCCGGGTTGCGGGTTGCAGCCGATCAATGACTCTCTCATCACTGATGTTTCTCTCTCTCTCCCCCTCTCCCTTCCTCTCTCTGAAATCAATAAAGATATAGTTTAAAAAATTAAATAAATAAAAAATAAATCAGCCTTATTCTCTCCCTGCTCTTGATTGTATTTGCACAGATTCCTCACCTGTGAAGTGAAGGGTAATAATGGTTCCTAGCTCTCAGAGGTGAAGACTAAGTAGCAGAATGTGTTTAAAGTGCTGAACTTAGTGCCCACCTGCCACACAGTGGGAGTTTAACTCACGTTGGTTCCTCTCTTCTCCACTCCCCTTATAATTTTGTGCATGTGTCTTATCTCTCCAAAGAGACTTTATGTTATAAATATGACTGTGCCATTCACCGATACTGTATATGTTTCAGTGGCTTCCCATTTTACTCAGAATAAAGCCCTCTTGAGTAACTTGCCCTCTGAGGCTCTGGATTATTCAGGACCTACAACATTTTCCAGCTTTATCCCTACCTTTCCCATCTCTTCTCTCCCAGAATTTTATGATAAGTCTCTGAGATAAAGTTCAACCTCCACAGCCGGGCGAGTAAGGCCTTTTATGATCTGGCCTCTGTCTATCTCTGATCACCTTGTAAGCAACCCAAGTCCCAGCCACACCTGGCTACTGGCAGTTCCTGGCCCAGTGGGCCCCTTCTGGCTTCTGGGACTTGGCTGTTCTTTCCTCTGGAACTCCCTGGCCTCCTCCGTTTTCCTGTGTGACTCTGGGATTGAATTCCTTCGCTTTTATCGCTTAACTCCTGGGTGACCTTCGACAGGAGACATCTCTGGGCCCACTTTTCTCATCTATAAAATGGGTCTAATAATAGTACCTACCCCATAGGATGGTTGTGAGAACTCAGCGGTAAGTAAACACAAGGCTCTTACACCCGTGACTGCTGTACAGTAAGTGCCCTGGAAATATCACCTGTTTTTATTAAGCTGAAAACGTTGTTTCCTCCAGGAAGACCTTCTGGTTGCTGCTGCAGGCCGGGCGGGACACCCTCCTCCTGCGTTGCCTTAGCCCCCTGCTCACTTCCCCTTTGCCCTCATTACCCTGTGTGGTAACAGCCTGTCTACTTGTCTGTCTCCCTCACTAGACTGGGGACTCCCAGAAGGCGGGCACGGATCACCTCTGACCCCGTGGCCCAGAGCAGCCAGTCCATCCACGCTGAGAGGGTGAGAGAGCGAAGGGTCGCCATGCAACTCATGTTGAATGGACAAGTTCACTGGCGTGAACGGCCACTGCAGTCAAGGGACAGCTGGGACGGGAGGCAGTAACTGGGTTGTCAGAATAGAAAAGTTTCCAGGGGCCCCCTGGTGCTCTTGAAATCCAGATACAAATTTTAATTATGATGTTTGTGGTTGTGCCTGGTGCAGCTGTCACCTGCCACTTCTCTGCCCTCTTCAAATTCCCTGAGTCCCTTTCAGCCTCAGGACTCTGGATGCACTTTTCCTGTTGCCTGGAATGTACATCTGCCCTCTCACCACCCCACCAGCTCCTCCTCATCCTTCGGGGCTCAGCCTTAGAGTCACCTCCTTGGAGAGGCCTTCCTGGATTACCCGACCTAAATGAGGTCCCCACGGTTTCTCCCCCTCTCAGAGCACCCTGTTCTTTCCCTGTACGGCAGCAATCGTAATCTGTACCTATGTATTTATTAATTCAGTTATTTTTGTTCCTGCCCATATTTTCCAGGAGAGACTCTAAGCTCCCCGAGGGCAGAGAGCACATCCTTCCTGTCCCCTGCCGTAGCCTCGGCACCAGCACCTGGCATCAGGTGGGCACAGAGTAGGTGCCAATTGAGTGTGTCCTTTGAGTGAATGCTTCTGTGTGTGCCCTTACTTCATGAGGATTTCCATCTTGTCCTGCAGACAGAAGCCGGCCTCCTGGGCCACACTGTAGAACTTGGCCCTCATGGTGGTACACACGTTGGTCTTGCAGTGGATGAGGTCACGGTAGGTGCGGCTGTGGGCACAGACAAGAAGGGCTTGGGGGATCAGGCCCAAGAGACAGACCCGTGAGGCTGGCCTCTCTGGGCCCCAAGGTGCTTTGCAGTGGGGATTCCCTGGACCCACCTGGGCTCTCTGGGCTCACCTGGAGCCTCCCCCAGCAT